GTCTTAGCCTCTCAATTCCAGCAGTTGCTACAATCATTTGGTGAACCTGTTGAAGATGAGAGTCAAACCTTGCTGCAAATAACTACAAAATTTGCATCTGAGTATTGTGCAACTATCGAGGGAACATCTAAAAATATTGAAATTTCAGAACTGTGAGTTCAATAGCCGTGTTTTAAATTTTTTTAATGATTCTAGTTTTATTCTTTACTCTTTAAGTATTATATTTAAAATCAGGCTGCAGTGGAAAACAATTTGATATGTTGTAACTGATTTTCTAAGACAAAAAATGGTGTTTGATGAAAAACTTGTTAACAGTTAATGAGATTCAGTTTTTTGAATATTTAAATACGGGGGTTAAAAGGAGATGTAACCACCCTTTTTTTCCACCTTTCCCCTCCACCACCAATTTTGAAATATTCAAAAATCTGTATGTCATTAACCGTTCCCTGGATTTTCCTTCAAAAAAACTGTTTTTGTGTCTTAAAAAATCAGTTGTACAACATATCAAAGGTTTGTTTTTATCCGAAGCCTAACTTTAATAATATTTGCTCACCAATCTGTTTAAGTTGCATAGAGCCTGTAAAAGTTTTATGCCTTTGATCCTTTTGACATTTAAGGTGTTTAATTTTTATTATTATTAGACCTGATATTTTAAAATCTTAAGTATATATGTACGGTAACTGGAATAAGAAAACATAAAGCCTCAATTTACATATCTTGTATTCATTCACATACTTTCTCAGATGCGGTGGTGCTCGTATATGTTATATTTTCCACGAGACATTTGGTCGAACGTTAAGCGGCATTGATCCACTCGGTGGTCTCAAGACCATTGATATCCTCACAGCTATTAGGAATGCCACGGTAATTTCTTCAACAAATATCGCTTTTTAAAATGTTGTCCATTTCTAAAGAAGAATGACTCGGTAAACTGAACTGGTGGTAGTTACTGTGTGTGCGCTGAACCATGAGAATTTTTGGGTACCTAGTTAAATTCCAGGTACCTAATTGCCGAAATGCAAGTTACTAATGCACACCATCTTTCAGAAGAGAAAAGCTGTTGGTAAATGATAAAATGTCCATAAAGGCACATGCCCTACTTGGACAGTAGAGGATGGTTTTAGACCAATCACAATAACTTTAAACAAATAACCAATCGTGTGCTTAGCTTCCCAGTTTTAAATACCTAAATACCTACGTAAAATGTTTTTGTCTACAACAATCAAAACTAAGATGGGGCTTAATAGTGAATGGTCTTGCAGACCCTATCATGAATGTTAAATATTATAAAGGCTGGTTTCCATGAAATCGCTACACTGCCGCTTCCGTGTTCTCAATGCAATCGTTGTACTGCGTAGCAGTCTCAGACGCAGTCGAGAAGGGCCCCCCCCCCGATTCGACTGACCTATCAGCATCATAAACTGTCAGCGATAACGTGTAGCGATTGTATGGAAACCGTGCTTTAACTATTATTTCTTTTATTTCTCAGGGTCCAAGGCCTGCTCTGTTTGTGCCTGAAGTATCATTTGAATTATTAGTCAAGAGACAAATCCGCCGATTAGAGGAGCCTAGCTTACGATGTGTAGAACTCGTACACGAGGAGATGCAGCGTATTATTCAGCATTGTGGCACGCAGGAAATGTTGCGCTTTCCAAAACTTCACGACCGTATTGTAGAAGTAGTAACAACACTACTTAGGCAGAGACTACCTACAACAAATGCAATGGTAAAATGAAAGTTTCAATTGATTTATTCTATTATTATTATTATTATTATGTTCCTATGCATGTTTATGCCATAGGAACTTTTTGTATTCAGTTTTTTTTGCGTGGGTGTGTTTGAACAATTATGCAAATGCGCATGCACCAAGAAAAAGTTTTTCCGACATTTTGTTTTTACATAGCGACGCGAAGTTCTTTAGTGTTCAGTTTGTGGACTCACAATAACCGATTGCCAAGTCACCATGAGCAAAAATATTTTGGATTGGCGAAGAAAAATACTGCTTTAGCCATTTTGCCAAAGGCCTAAAATAGAAAAAAGAAGTTTTAAATACTTGCTAAAATACATCGTTTTTCATTTGATCTCCATTTTTCACCAACTTCATGCGACGTTTATTTTTATTGTTGTATGAGTAGTCTTGCTGCAAATGTCAATTCGTGCCTCGCAAGTTATTTTTTATTTGTAATTGTTATTTTAACTTGGTGAAAGCAGGGAAGTGGCTGTAAACCATAGACTAATATGACGGTACTGTATTACTGATGGTAAGCTATGTAGCAGTGTACCCTTTGAATGCAAACTGAAGAAATGAAGTGTAAATAAATAAAGACAGCTGGCTGTCGGCTACTGGGTTTTTTCACTAAAACACAAGGCCAAGTTTGTAGTTCAGCGATGTGAGGATGGTAGGCCTAGGGCCTATACCATTCATGATTTGGTGTTATCGTCTAATATGCAAAATACATTTTAATTATGCGTGTAAAATTTAGGAATGCACCGCATTGGTGGCTTTGTTATATGGTATACATAGCACAGTGACGGAAAGGCTAGGCGTAGCCTAGGGCCTGGCCTGGGCTAGATTGTGTACGTTCTTGATCATCGAGTTGAAAACTTCGGGTGACAAACTATTGGGCCCAACTGGTGTGGACGATAGGGCCCAAGCCATTTGTAAACATATTGCAGTCTAGTAGGCAACTGCCAGCTACCCCACCCCCGATATTCTTAAAAACTACTGTAAGATGAAAATACTGTATACCTAGGCCTACGAATTTAAATTTAAAAAAAAAAAATATTTTTTTTAGGTTTCTTTTTTTTATTATTACTTTTATTATTATTATTATCGCCCCCAGGAGATACGTTTTCAGTCGTGTAAGTTTGTGTGTGTGTCACATTTTGTGTGTTTTTTTTTTTTTGTGTTTGAAATATTTTTAAAACGTCCGGGACCAGATATTTCAAAAAAATAATAATCTACTGAACTGAATGAAACTTTCGTGAAAGTTAAACCAAGTTACAAGAAAAAAATATGAGGTGTTAGTGAAGATCCAAATTCGAGTGTGCATTTGAGGGTCATTAGGTCCCAGACCTAAATGTCACTTAAATGGATCAAAATGACACTTTCCAGAATAGTTTGTCATGTTTTAATAAAGAAATATTTAAATTTTGGTCACAATTCAAAGTAGGGTGTGAATATGAGGACCATTTTAAAAACATGTTTACCATATTACCATAGGCAGAAATATGATGAATATTTAAATTAGTGCAATTACAGTAAAGGTGTACAGTGTTTTATATGTACTATAACTTCGCTTTTTTCGGAACTGATTGCATCTTTACATTTTAACATGTAACACTAAAAACCAAAACCCCATATTTCAATTTGCATAATATATCAATTTCAACACCAATGTATGGCATGTAATTTTTTTGTCAGCTATAAGAGTAAAAAGTTCAGTGTCTTAAGCCAGAAGATGTAAGTATTAACAGGTGTACAACTGGTACAGTAAAAGGCGTTTGAAAAATGAAGTGATCAAATTTTGGTGTAGATATATGGACTATTCAGATATCTCGAAAACTAATCAACTGATTTAAATGAAACTTTCGTGTTATTGTCATTTTCTTTTTTAAGTAAATTGTGGTTGGTAGTTAGAAAGTAGGAACATATTTTTGGGGATTATTTTATAGAAAGGGATTTGCGGTGGGCAGAGATATGCTCTCTACTGAGCGCTCTTATTATTATTATTATCATTATTATTATTAATGTTTTGAAGCCATTCTCGTTTCCAATATTGAACCATGACTCCTGTATTTTAGGTTGAAAATTTAGTAGGCATTGAGTTAGCATACATCAACACTAAACATCCGGACTTCACGGATGCTGCGGTAGTCAATGCCCTCATTCATCAGAGTAATGATGTTAAGAAACATCGCATGGATGCGCCACCTGCTGCAGAACAACTAGAGAAAGAAAGGCAACTCACAAAGGCTGCAGCACAACTTGCGATAGCTGAAGGGCAAGAGAGAGCCCCTTGGGGTGCGTTTTGGAAAAGTGGACCCAGGTCAAATACTCCGACAGATAGCCCCCAAAAAGAAGTAAAGCAGCCCACCCTTAACCTCCTATCTGATGAGGTAAATGTTTTTAATTATATTTATATGTACTTTTTAAATGTTATAAACAGGGATGATATTGGTATGAAAGAGCACAGTGGTAATTCTTTGGTAGTTTCCGTTCATGGTTTAACATGTTGACTGCCAAGCCTTATTTCCTTGTTACATCCCTTACGCCAAGGCACAAAGGCCACCAATGTAATGAAAATCATTTTCATCAACCATAGTGAAACGTGAACGAACATACGGTAGTTATTTTTAGATCATTACTCCTAGGTCCCTCTTGATCCTCCAGTGAGAGTTTTGGTGACCATTGTTAGCAAGTTAACGTGTATTAAATACAATAGTGGTATGCTGAACAGATGCGGATGTGAATTAGTTAACCTTGCAAACCAAGATGGCAGAGAAATAAATTGATTTTGCCAAAGTGTTTATAATATATTGATAATCTGAATTCAAAAGCAGTTATTGTAGTACAGTAATTAGTTTTTCTCTCTGACTTCATTTTTATCAGCCAACATTATTTTATCATTTTCATTTTGTAGCCAACTCTACCTTCTTCAAGAAAACTTTCCTCAAGAGAGCAACGTGATGTTGATGTAATAAGTAAGTAAAGAAAACATGTTGATGAATTTACTCTTGTACAGTAAGTGAATTGTAATTAAGTAGATGGATGGAAGAACGGTTGGATGGAACCTCATTTTATCACTTGATAATGCATTCAACTCTGCAAATACCAGAACAAAATAAATACACTGCCAAATGTTCAAGAGAATATCAGGAGTGTGGGCTGGTTTCATCCTAGGGCTGCGAATATTGAGAACTTGGAATTAAATCCATAGTCTAATGAAAACTTAGTAGAATTAATTTGCTGCCATGGGTGTTTATACACACCCCTTCCCTCAGCCCACGGCAATGAAAATTCCAATCTACTTTTAAGTTTGTGAAAAATCCAGTCCTTTAATATCTACTTTTATATGATGGTTAATAATTGTAGGTGCCAAATATGATCCTTTTTATCTTCGAATCATTTAAATATTTACAAGCACATAATAGTATTTTAACTTTCTATTTTTTTTCCCAATCACAGAAAAGCTTATCAACAGCTATTTCTTGATTGTACGCAAAAACATCCAGGACAGCGTCCCGAAAGCCATCATGCATTTCCTAGTTAACTACGTACGAGATCAGATGCAAAGTGAGCTGGTCGGTAAACTGTACAAACAAGAACAGATAAATACCCTACTTAAGGAGTCAGAGGTCATGGTTCAAAGAAGGAGAGAAGCAGCTGAGATGTTGAGGGTAAAGTTCAACATTGTATCTTTTTATAGTTTTAAAAATTTCAACAAAGTCCCATAGCATCTGGAGTTATTTATAACGAGATTAAAGCACATATAAATAATAATAATCATAATAATAATAATAATAATAATATAGAGATTTATACTGGGCCTTTTGCTAAGGGCTACAAGGTGCTGGCGATGCTGGTAATACCCCTGGTCATTGGATCCATAGTCAAACTAGCACAAAGTACAACCTCCTCCACTCCCTGGGGCGTATCCCTAGTCGTGTATTATGAATATTATGAATGAAAAAATGTTTGTGGTAGACCTTGTGATAGTTTGGTTGCAGCGCCTTGCTTCCAATCCCATTGTCTTAGGTTCAAGCTGCTTATGACAATCCTCGTTCCCTGTATATTTTACGGTCATTCCATCAATGTAGAATCATATTTTTCCATGAACATTTAATTTCTAATTTTTCTGTGGCAATTTATGTTTTGATATAATTTATTTGTTTTGCAGGCTTTACAACGGGCAAGTCAGATTATAGGGGAAGTAAGGGAAACCCACATGTGGTAGCAACATGTATAGGGGATAAAGTTACTCATTTGAAATGGAAAGCAGCGGTACTGAGGGGATAATATATACTAATATTTAGTATGCGTCTGTGGATTTCTGATGGGAATTGTTACTAGGATTTGCATTATTTGACAGACAGGTGTCTGATATTACAGGTGATCACACTAATTTAATTATCTATGTGTACATAAATGTGTAGAAAATGCTTTAACGGTGAAAACCTTTTTCCAACGTTTTTTTTGTTGACACCGTATATATCACATTGACAAAAAATATTAGAATCAACTCTATTGCATGGCATAAAAAAAACAGTGCATTAAAAATCCAAAATGGGATTAATCTAGGTTGCGATTGCAGATTAAACTGGATTAATAATTCAAAGATTGGGATTAAATAAAGATTAAATGTCTGGATTGTTATTAAAGATTTGTAATGGAATTAAAGGTCTGTGTTGGGATTGAACATATACATTGGATTAACAATTAATATGATATGGTATCGTCTAAGAAAATCTATAAATTCATGGTAGGTTTCACTTTAATAAATATATAAAAAAATAAAGGGCTGGATGATCCCTCTTCATGTATATTTTATAGGTTTAATACTTGGCTTTCATATAGATTCATAGATTGAGAACACTTGCAGATGATTAAACTGACAAGGGGATTAATATATGACTGAGATTTGAGATTATAAATGGATCATCTCAGTCTCTCTAGATAAAAATGGGAAAATAGACGATTTATATACCGGACATAATCAATGGTGATAACTCACTATGATGTTTACTAAGAAGTTAAGACCCCATGCAACATTTTGAACTTTGTATAAAAATACCTTCCTACATAACCTTTGACATTTATTCAGGTAAAAGGTGATTATATTCCTCCTTGGTCAACATATCATTAGTAAACTTCAATAAGCAATTGTCCCTTGTAAAATTATTCTTAAATTAAATTGTTATATGCTGAACATACAGCTAAATAATCATTGATGTGTAGATTGTTTTCTTGGTGATGTTATTAAATATGTTTGCAATCTTCAAATTTAAAATACCATTTTACCATGAGCATTAATACTTATGCTACTTGTATATTTGCAGTGTAATGAAAATTTAGTTCAAGCTGAGCACTCCAATAAATATCCTGGAGTCTAAGGTGTACATAGTTCTAATGCAGTGGCAGTGCCAGAGATAATCTGACACAGGTTCAAAGGTCCCTGACAATTGGTCCAAAATCGAAGAAAGGAAGGAAGGGGGTGACTCCTACTATACCAAGCCTATCTTAGTAGGAGAAAATTTAAACAAGCACATCTATATACATAGGAATTGGCACTCTCAGACTGTAAAAAATGCTTTTTCAAAGCAGTGGTCCCCAAGGAAATGATAGGATTTTTTCCAACTGGGGTCCAGAGCTGCCTGTTGGGGGTAGTGTACTTCCTTAGACTTAGACTTCCTAATGTGCCACTGTTTTTATATGTCATACTTCCCATCATTGCTATTCCCACCTTTTCGTTTTATTGTTTTATAGGTTCTGTTGAGAATATTACTCAACTGAATTTTGAAGCCAGGTTATGTAGCGTGCTTACTCTTTAGATTTTAGCTCAAGTCATTTGTGTATATATTTTTTTGCAAGGATTACATACTGTATACATATTCATAACATAGTTTTAGTTCTTGGAAAAGGCAACAATGTAATGATTAGGTTAAACATTATAAAGCTTGGTTTCCAAAAAAAAATCGCTACATACTATCTCCAAGAGCTTTTGGGGATGCTGATTGGTTGGTCAAATCGGGGAGCCTTCAGATTGCATTGGGGACGGCTAACGCAGTACAACGATCGCACTGAAAACACTTTTTAGCAGATGGCATCGTGTCATCAGGCATGGAGATGGATTTGTCTGCCAACCATTCATTGGTGGCGCCAGCGGAGGGTATTCCCCCTCCCCGTTTGACTGACTCTAGTTGACTCATTTGATTTGGGCTCCCTGTTGCATATGTCCGACCCCTCTGTCGGCAAATTTCTGTCATTGTCTCTATCCACACAGGAGTGGGACCTAATAGTAACGCGAATTCACTGATTTTGCATGTGGGTCATAATGGAATACAGCTCAGGGAGCAGTGTATCAGTTGCATGGGCCTTTGTTTCAATAAATAAAATAACAAAAAAATAACATTTAAATAGACGAAAAATACAATGGTAATCGTGAAGAACTGTGATTGTGGTATTAATTGAAGCCTTATAAATGTACACTTTGTATGTTCAACATATAATTTTGTATTATTATTATTATTATTATTATTGATATTATATTATTATTAGGTATTGTTATTAGTTTACGTTTTCTGATGAGACCATGCTTGGTCTCATTAGGTGAGACTTTTTTTATACCTTGTTTAGTGAACCCGCCGACTTCCAATATTGATTTCAAATAAAAATAAAATTTTATTTTTGGCCAATTAGCGCACCCGCCGCCATGAAAAAGTGGAAATTCCAGAAAAAAATAAGTTTTTTTCTTTATTTTTATTATGCACTACGCTGGCTTGAAATCTCCAGAGATATGTATATTTCTTCCTAATTATATAAATTTGAAGTATTTAACCATCATATTTTACATTCCCAATCACCAATAAAATTCTAGTTTTATTTTCTCCTCCATCTGAATGTTTTTGGCAAAATTATTTGCTAAAAAAAGAAAACAAAATTTTATTTTTATTTTTATTCTGCCCTCCTCCGATGATCTTTAAAATAAGTACGCGAAACAAGAAATAAGAACAGTCTCGCCTTAGAAGATGGAAGGGTAAGTTTTTCGGCCGTTTATGTTATGATGAATTTAAACAAATCCAAGATGCTGATTGATGAAGCTGGCTTAACTCACCATCTTAATGCACTACTACATCCTAATTTTTCTCTACTAATTACCTAAAATGCATGAGTTGTATAAAATAAACAGGCTATGGCCAGGCTTATACGACTTTTCTAATAAGCGGTACTGTAAATTACAGTACCGGTACATTATTTGTTATGTTGTAAATATTCTTTTTATGGTATTTTTTTAAGGAGTATACATTTATTTCAGGTGCTTCATAACTGATTAAATTTCAGACATGTTTAATTCCATATTGCTTATGAAATTTGTTTTTTTTTTTAATTACTTTTTGCTAATTATTTATTATAGTTTAATTGGTATGTGTGAAGCCTTACACAGACTATCAAATTGTATTTGTCAACAAACATATGAGGCATGTTGTGGTGAAATGGTAAAGTTGTCACACAGTCTAGTATTGAGTAAATGAGCTATAAAATATGGAAGCTCAAAAAATTGATAAAAAATCCAAATTTGTTTTTCACTGTAGGTCAACAGTTTAATGTCTTATTAATCATGTCCCAAAGTATTACAGTAGTTCTGGTGGTTAACAAATTGTTTATTTAACGTTATTTTTCATAGTTCATTCTATTAAACAATGTATGCACAAATAACTTTGAAAGGCAATTACTCAAAATCCTGTTTATCTTGACTCTAAGAGTACTGTACTTTCACTTTCCAATAACTTAGGTGTGAAATGTCCAATTTGAATGAATGACCTCTCATTTTAAAGATCACATACTCAGGTATTTGAAAATACCAATAACTTGAATTTAAATTTTTGCTACAACATGCCTCATATGACATGCCTAAATATGGTCATGATGACATCACATCATGACTATATATGGTCATACAACAGTTTTTTGATAGTCTGGACAGAGCAAGCCTTTATTTGTAAGTGTAGTGACTTAATAGCCACAACAACAGAATGGGGTAAATACTGGTTACAACCATGTGTCTTGTTATACATTAACATTTGTCTGAAAATTCAGGATGACAATTTGGTAGGATTTTGTTAATAAAAAAAAAATTGATAGATCAGTGTAATGTAAATGTAACATTTAATAAGTTTATCCTGTTTCAATAATTAACAATAATTCTGTTTAGAATTCCATTTTTGTTGTTGTAGAATAGTTTGTGCCCAAGAAATGAAATATAGCATTCAAAACCAAAATGTACTATTAACGAGACAAATTTGATTATATTTTATTATACAGTGATTACAATTTGTGGTTCATTTTCATGCTTATAACATCAAGTACATGGACAAAATCTGAAATATATTATTAGTTAAACAACCTTTTTTGTAGCATAGGAGCTTAACATGTGGTGTTTTTGTTAATGTAATTTGCATACATATGGGAGCAACCTTATGACTAAGGACTTAATGTAGGAACTAAAGTGTATATGATGCAATAGGTAAAGTTGACATAGTTGTGGGCTACGGTGTCACAATTGATCATTAAAAACGTTTCATCTCTGAAAAAGAAGAGAGTGTATCAAAGATTCTTATTCAGCAATAACACCCACTCACTTCAGTGATGGCCCCAGAAATTTGCCAACAGGGGTCCTATCTAGAGTTAATTAAATCTTTGATGGCATGGCTGGGGCAACCGGAGGGGGGGCACAGGTCCACCCACCTTTTGGCAAAAAATATATGTCAGGAGATTTTTGTATGATCGGAAAGAAATGCAAGAAAAGAAAGGAAGGAGCGAAAAAGAGAATTTTTATCCTGTCCCCAACCGAGTTACATTTCATTGCATGCAATAAAATACCACTTTCGTCATTTTAAAACAAACTTAAACTTATTGTAGTTGTAACTACAATAGTGTTACAACTTTTATATTCTTTATTCAAAAGCATTGTTGCCCATTATTTTCTTTAAAAATTATACACACACACTAACTACACTTCATAACTCAAATACAGTCATTCTCTGTCCCAACTCATGCCATGTCTTAGAAGCAAACCACATATGACAATAAACACAACAAAACCATTAACAAACTAGTTTTATACCCTTCCGAAGGATGGGTACACAGCTAGTATCGTAAAATTGCAGAAAACTAAAATAGCAGTGACAATTCATTTCCATTCTTCAGGATAGACATTAAAGACAATGTCTTCACGATTATGCAAATTTAAATAATTACACGCTGTTGTCGTTAATATTAATCAGTGTCAGTAATTTCTGTGGTGACCAGCCATTGGAAAATATGGTATTTTAGAAAATTTTATGGTTGTGTTTAACAATCCTGCCAAGTACGGTTGCGTAGAGCCGTTACTAATATCTATTATTTCAAAATGCCTTTTTTTGTCCCACGTAAAACAAGAAGAAGGGTTTCTCTGGACTGCCAGTCACAGATATTGAAAGTCGGTTTTATAACCAAAATGTGATGAATGTCTTTTTTTGTAAATCAAATCTTGTGCTTAGTTCAGTTCTCTCAGTTTCTACTACTACGCTTATATTAATACATGCAAAGGCATGCTGCACTAGATAGGCATGTTCGCATGATGCACTTGATTGTCATTACATGAATTCACCTTTCACATTGTCAGCGGCTGTATCTTGTTTTTTCAGTCCTAGTATATGCAACATTATCTTCAAAAAAGCATGGCGACGCAAGCAATGAAAATTATTAAGTCCTTTAACGGAAGGTTCATCTAAGTTGTCAATTTCAGAAAAATCGAACATAAAGATATCTTGTCTGTTAGGTATAAAATAAACAGGTAGGGTTTCATGCATTGTAGAATGATCTAGGAAGGTTAACAATTTTCCAGCCAAGTTAATTACTGATTTGTTAAAATCAGGTGTGTGTTTGGTTTTTAGAGTAATGGAATCGGTACTTAAAATGTGGAACAGACTGTTCTTCAGCATGTAACTGGTAATGCTATCCTCTGCTTCAAATTTTGGAAAAACATCTGATTCAGAATCAGGATCCAGCCGGGGGCAAATAGATTTGTGCTTGAGTAATTTGCATAGCCTATAACTTTCCTTGATATAGAGCGGTAGAGATTTTATCAAACATATCTCCGCTGGCGAACAGGATATTCTTAATAACGTGTCAGACTGTAAGTATGGATTCTGGAGTAATAGTAAGCAACCTTCATCTTTTATTTCTTGTGTCATCAAAGTTAGATTTCCGAATTCAGTATCGGAAGGCCACCACCCCTTTTTTTGTATAGCTGGAACAATATCAAGACTTATTTCTTCATCTTTGTACAAGCAACCAAACCACCGAAGTTTTAATGTTAATACTGGCCTATCGTATTCTTCTAAATGATGCACATTCCCATCAAAATACAGATTTGGGCTTTTCCATGTATTGTCGTCTGAAAGTAACCGCTTCAGTATTTTTGAAAATGCAAATCGAATTTCTGGCACGTTGCATTTTTTATTGCAACAAAAAAAGCTTTCATAGTTCTCTGGTATATCATCAGCTTGTACTTCAGCAAAACCTCTTTTGTCTTCTACTTCTACAATTCGACACAGGTCTGCAAAATTTGTAAGACAGAATACAAAGTCAAATTCCGTTGGATCAGAAATTTTAGTTTCTTCCGCTGAACTCCCAGTTCGGAAAAGGGAACATTTCAACCTTTCATCCATTTCACCTATACGTCTGCACATATATTGTGCAAAATCTACAATTGTTTTCACGATTAAAGTACTTTCTTTCTCATCCCAAGGTTCTCCATAACCAGGCTGATTCAGTACACTTTTTATCAAAGATTCAGTTATTTGTTTGATACCAGCCAATGCATCTTTTTTGTTGATAACGTCTTTGTAGTGAAGAACATCTACACCCTCTTTAGTGTCATCCCTATGTTCACGATATGACATCCTGCGTTGTAAAATATCTATGGCTTTGTTTCTTTGGCTGTCTTCTAAACTAATGCAGGGCATATGTCCTTTCAATTCATGAAACATGTCTTCTCGAGATAAGATAGCGCAATAGTGAAGTGGTGTTGAACCAAATATGTCAGCTTGCCATAAAAGTTTTGAATTGAGTTTCTTCAAGTAAAAACGTGCTAGATGTTTGTAATTTGGCATTGATAAAACAGAATGAAGCAGTGTTCTTCCCCATTTGTCAGTCATATTTACGTCTGCACCACTTTGGATTAACATGTGAATAACTTCTAAGTCATTGGCTAAAAACAAAGGACTTCTACCGAACAAGTCCTGTTGATTGACATTACCACCTACATCAATGATAGCTTTCATAACAGCCTTTTCGTTTTGATTCCGTTCATTTACAATATTTCTCTCTGCCACTCCTAGATACTCGTCATCTAGTAATCTTTTAGGAATGCATTGTTTACTGACTAGTATGTGAATAGGTGTCATCCCAAGATTATTTGCAATATTAACATCACAACCAAACTTGATTGTATGTGAAACAAGTTTCAAGCTGGGCTCTTCGCACAACATGTGTTCCATCAATGGTGTGTTTCCACATACATTTCGTTGGTTTATTAGGGATATTATGCATTCCTTTGTAGATTTGTCAACAAATTCTATTAGTTTTTCTTCTATCTCGATTTCATCCTCACAATCTGCACTTCTCAATAATTCGTGAAAGCAGTTATTGCCTTCTTCGTTTGTCATTGAAACTGCCATGGCAATTAAGCTATCCAGTCAACGGAACTCAATACCAATAGACCATGCAGACAGCACTGACTGCTATTCCTATTACATCAGTTTGTTTTTGTAGTAGGACTAATCCTCATATACGCATAGGCCTACCCTAGCTCCACAGCAGTGTTGTTTAACAACATACAGCAGGCCTGCCCTAACGAACTTATAATCAGGCAGCTTTAAATCTACTCACACAGCCCAGGCAAACCCACCGCCTAGTTAAAAAGCTGTCTTATCTCACCACCACTGGTTTTAGGTCCGTTTTACGAAGTGTTCATCATATAAACAACAGAATGCGGACGCTTCTGTTTAATTTATAGGTCCACTTCCGCAGTGTACTTTGTATTTGTTTATCTATTCAGACTGGTTTTCTCTAGTCTGGTGAGTAAACATAACAGCGCATTTAGATAACGCATGGGAAATATATCTTGAAGATTAGTGTTCCACCAGTCAGCACCACCGGATTTGGCTCATCCGAGAAAAGGTAGCCACGGCCCACGGCTCGCCTTCAGGGTACGGCTCCGCCCCCCCCCCCCAAAATGTGAAAGTAAAGTAAAATTAGGAGAATGCTAATTTCCTGCCATTTATAAATCAAAATTTTTTTAAGAGGAGAACCCGAACGCCTTCCCTTTCTTTTTGGGTTCATTGATTCATAAAATCATTTCAAGAAGGGAAAACGCCTTTAATTTTGAAGAATGTAAAAGGCATTTCGGAAAATATCATTTTCCCGCCATCTAGGAATCAAAATTTACCATATCGGGAAGATCCCCGTAGCCCCCTTCCTTTTTCAGGATTTTGGGAAAAGTTTTTACCCCCAACCCCTAAATTTCAACCCAGATTCCCCCAATTCATATTCCCATTTATTTTATTAGTGTCCCCCCCCCCCCCCCCCCCCCCCCCACCGACTTGGAAAAAAATTCCGCCAGCCCTGGATGGAGTTTATGAAAAGAGATTTTATAGTTTATGGTAGCCCATTGTGATTTTTAATTAAGGGAATGGGAATCACAATAACTACGGATCAGCAAATTGATATTTTTAAACTCTGGAGAGCCTCATCATGGCGTCAGATAATGGGGGAATTTCCCCCTAGCCACTGAACTCACTGGTGCCACCCTTGACTTCCCCCTGACATATCATCTGATCAGCGTGTTGTGATCATTTTTGTAGTTTTAATTTACCTAATATTAATGGCGGCACAACTCACAGCAAAAACAATACACATTTTACATTTATAGTTTATTACATATACAGTTTGTATAAGTTCACACACAGCATTCAATGTAGACCTATAATAGATTATCTAGTCACACACATCAATCTTTGGTTCTGAGAAGATAAATATACAACAGTCTGGTAACATATTACATTATACTCCAGTTAAATTTTATATAATTTGTATGGCAACCATTTTATATATATGTATCCAGATTTTTAAAATATAATTATGTTTGCATTTTCATTTTGTAAACAGTACAGTAATTGTATATACATCAGTAGCAGCCCAGATGGAGGGTTTAGACAGCCTCAGCCCCACCATGCTTTATGATTATAGCCCCTCTAGTTTGCCGGAACTGACACTCTTAATTTTGAATATATTCTTTTTTTCTCCATGTTTTTGACAAATTTTTGGGGGCCCATATAAGATGTGTATTTCTTCCTAATTATATAAATTATAATTATTACACTGTCAGCAATAAAATTTTATTTTTATTTTCTCTTCATCTGGATATTTTTGGCAAAACCATTTGCTAAAAAAGAAAACCCAAACTTTATTTTTTTTCCCGCCCTCCTTTGGCGATCTTTAAAATAACAAGTTTGCGAAACAAGGTATAGAAAAGCCTCGACTGACATATACTGTAATCTAAAACAATAAAATAACTAACATAAAAACTGTGCAATATGCACATAAAAACTACTACTGTAGTAACACACAAGAAAAGAAAGACAACTAGTATACAAAAACTAGAAATATTTACAAAATGTTTTGGCAACATTATATAGATTATATCTCAAACTATAAAGCTTTCAAAATATGCAGCAAATATGGAAAGACTTAATTTTTGGTATGTTTTGGCATTATATGATGAAATACTTAACATATAATAATTCATATTTGGAATTATTTTAAGGTCTGTTTTTTAAAAAATTCAAATTTGGTTTAGACAAAAACGTATACTGGTATAAAATATCTTTCTTTTACAAATATTTGGTGTACTTTTTGGTTCAACATTTATTCAGATTTTGCATTTATTCAAGATATCTTGAAGCGAAGATGTCCTTGCTATTATCCGATATATTATGCATCTTGACATAGCGCTGATAAACTATTGAAAAGGTGCCTAGAAAGAAAGAAAAAAGTAAAACTTAGAGTATAACTAGAGTATATATAATATATCATGATGTGATATATTAATACACGATGATATTGTGTGGTCTAATGTTATGACATATAAATGAATTTCGTCCATATACCTTAACCCAACAGAAAATTATATATTATGTATATGATCACAACACAGTATAATTCATGGGTTTTTCTTACCTGTAGGATATTTTCTGTGAATCCTCTAATTTCAGGATTTTTAATACTTTCTTCAGATCAGACTAAAAAAAAATGGAGTATAAACAAACGATCATAATTCCACAATGAATTCCAAAAATAATAATTATATAATATATACAGTAATAATTATATAATATATATAATTATATAATATATATAATTGTATAAATATATAATATAATATATATATATATATAATTAATATATACTAATTCATAGGCTGTGAATGACTTTGAATTAATTTGAAGTAATGTTAATAGTAAAACTTTGAAATTTGTGCATGGCTGTTTATGTATATGCCATTCAGCATAATGACGCTGCTAGTTATAGGTTATTCTTCTACCTTTACCTCTACCTATGTATCCACAGACAATTACAAGATATACAATTTTAATATCGATATTTAGGTGTATATATATTCAATAAGCATATGAGGCATGTTGTCGCAAAATGAATAAGGAAATTGAAATTCAAGTTATTGGTATTTTCAGATACCTGAGTATGTGATTTTTAAAATGAGGGGTCATTCATTCAAATTGGGACATTTCAAGCCTATTGGAAAGTGAAGGTACAGTACACTTAGCATGATTTTGAGTAATTGCCTTTCCAAGTTATTTGTGCATACATATGTTTATTAGAATGAACTATCAAAATGACGTTAAATAAACAATTTGTTTACCACTTCCAGAACTAATACTTTGGGACATGATTAATAAGACATTAAACTGTTGGTCTATAGTGAAAAACAAATTTGGATTTTTAGACAATTTTTTGAGCTCCCATATTTTATAGCTCATTTACTCAATACTGGACTGTGCGACAACTTAACCATTTCGCCACGACATGCCTCATATAGTTCAGTTAAGGTCGGGGAATGTGGGTCACCAGGACTTTAGTGGAATACTGTAAGGCTCCACCATAGGATACAAGTTAAGTTATGGTAGGTGTATGCAGGTCACCAGATCTTAGTGGTGTAACACCTGTATCCCACAATACATATTTTTGTTAGGGTATGGGTGTGGTCATTAGGACCTTAGTGGAATGATGTCCCTACGCCAGGACGCATCGATAGTGTGTTGGTCATTTGACCTTAGTTGAGTGGTGTCATCCTTTCCACATTCCAAGGATGGATAGTTTAGATGGGTGGTACACGACTCATTTGGTCTTAATGACATGATGTCTTTTCCCCATCCTCAGCATGCATAGTTCAGTTAGGACCTTAGTTAAGCGACGTCCTTCCGCTGGAAGCATAGTTCGGTTAGAGAGGTGATATATAGATCATTTGACCTTATAGTGTGACATCCCACCACTTTGGATGTTATCATAGCATACAGTATTATCATATTATAATATTTGTATTGAGTGAATAATTGATCCTTGATGGCGCAAGCAGCAATAAAAGAAATTGAAATATATTTCTATAGAATATGCAAATTAAAATAATTTATGCATAAGCTCACCTTTCTAACATCGATGTTTGCATCCAGTAGCATCGTTATGAATTGACTTGATGAGATGAAACCAGTGCGATCCTCATCAATCAAGTAACACTTGTCAATCACTCGTGTTTGGTTCTTGTTTATGAACTGGTTCACAATGCTGATTGTAATATTGCAGTCCTGTATAGTCATCAAAAATACACAATCAATAAAAATTGAGGGATTTAGGGGTAAGGTAAAAGTAAGGCCTGTTATAGGTCCAGAGTGCCCATCCCTCTTTCTTAAGCGTTAGGGGCAGACAGTGAAAGGCTTTGAGGGGATCACCACTCCTCCCAGCATACAGTATGCCAGTACCCATTTATACTCCTAGTAGAGACAGACAAATATAGAAAGTGTCTAGCTCAAGGACAAAAAATGATTTGCACCATGTGAGTTTCAAACCTCTACTGTGCAAGTTGTTTGTGTCCTTGGGCGAGACACTTTATGTTGCCTCTCCCCCACCTTAGTGTAGCCACACGCTCTTTAATTATCCTGCACCAACTTTAACATACACCCCATCCACCATAATATGATAAAGCCTCATACCTTTATATACTGCATTTATACCAACATAATATAGAGCTCCACTTGCATTATCATAATTATCACACTCGTAAAATATTGTTGAAATAAATAAATTAAATAAATAAATAATAATAGCAACATTTATAATGTGTTATATAACATATATATAAATGATATACAATGTTGGTGTAATAAATTTTGTTGTGTAGACAATAAAATTATCATTATTATTATTATTTTATTTTATCTCTCTTAGTTTATGTCTCCTTTCATGTTTTGCTTCCTAACGTTTTTAATGTTTTTTATCCTGTATTTTTAAGAAGATGCCAAATGAATGAAAAGAAAACAACATGTTACGGATGAAAACCACACATTATATAGGTCAAATGAAAGGTTTTCCAAACCTTGCTAGCGAGTTTTGTGTGGTCTCTGTCTCGACACAGAATACAAATGTCTCGATCTTCCTGGACTACTTGCAGCTTTTGAAGCACTTGCTTTGAGACTGAATAATCCTAAGAGATATTGAGGTTGATGAAGAGCAAAATTATTCACGATGATCAAATAATAAAGTAAACTAAACGAAGTGATTATATGCTAATAAATGATTAAATTGATTGTTATCAGTGCTTTAGCCAGACACAGTGAAATATAGAAAAAAAAAAGTTCAGCAAATAGGTAGACAAATAGATACACAGATATAGACAAACATGTGTCACCATAGCTGAAACCTACAGACCGGTAGAAAGTATTGTTAAAATCTAAGTTTTACCATTAGATTGAGTAGTTTGAGGGAGTTGTTAACCATGAGAGCCTTCAATAGTGCGATGATCCCCTCATCCCCAACAGGATTACCATTCAGCTAAAAAAGCAAGGAAAACATACAATATTCCTTAAAAAAATTACGAAGATGTGGGCATAAAAATGGGTCGGAGGACCAAATTGAATTTTGTTTAACTTAACACAGTGGGTTGAACAATGGCATAGCGATGGGCAGTTCAGCCAGTGCAAAGCATTAGGGCCCAGAGTTATTAGGGACCCATTTATTAATATGCCTAAAAATAATAAATAAAAAACAAAATTTTGGGTTCATTTCATTTGTTGAATTTTTGGTGCTTGCAAAAAACCTTCATCCACACCTTCTATACAACTTTATGCTTAGTTTTAAGTTCATTTTAAGAGATGACTGACTGTAACAGCAAATGGATTTTCTAGCCAAATATGGTAGGCAGGCCGCACATATAGGGCTTTTAATTTATTTTCACAAAACAAAATCGGCCATGCACCACACTCTGACCACCAGTAATCTATGTAATATCAAACCAAATTATAGATTCAAGTACCACAGCAGAATTTTTTTTTTTTTGTTCCAACAAGTGACCACTCACCAGTAGCACCTCTAACTTGGTGTTTTTCTTCAAACCAAGTGACAGTTTTTGAGTAGCTTGGGTATTCACATGATTATGGCTGATGGAAAATGAAATTGTTAGTTTATGTGTATTAATCAATAAACAATGACAGAAATAACAAACATTTGATAAAAGGTAACTTGAGAAATGGTGTACAATAGTTGATAAATTAATAATGGTTTTAGTTAGCATACATCAGAAGTCATGAATAAAAATGAAATTATTGTAATTAGTATTGTTTGATTTGAAGTCATGTAATTTATTAAAACTATACAATTATAATTTATATGATTATGAAGATTGTTCTATAATATAGTTATTAAAAATTGTATATAATTCGTGTAACTAAATAATAATAAATACAGTATATGATTATGATAATGATTGTATTTATATATATAGTAATGTTACAGTGAAACAATGGCTCAATTATGTCTGGTTATTAAAGTTTAGTTAGGTTTCATGGTTTTAGCTTTGAAAAAAATGTTTAGAACTTCAGTTCTGTGTTCACCAAGGCCCATTTCCAGATTAAGAGCATTGATCCCGCATCTATAAGAATTTCGAGATAGAGATCTGATAAAAGGCACAAGGGTTTAAGTGGCAGTGATAGCTGGGAAGTAAGGTGGTGTTGGGTCATTTTTAACTATTTTATTTTTACTCTGCAAATTTCCAAAGGTGGTGGGGGCTGCCTAAGGGTTACAAACTTTCTGGTGTGTACCCCCATGTTACCCTTATATGGTACTGGTTAAATGGTGGTCAGTTATGATATAACTTTTGTAAGTGCTTCATGCTTCATAAATGTTGTATTTGTTTAACCCTGAAATAGATTCAATTATCGTATTGTACTTGTAATTTATGTACCTTAAGTTGAGGATACGGAGGCCAGTGTTGACCTTCAGTGACCTCATAAAAGCTACACATCCTGGTAAACCAACAGCGTTCATGGACAAATCCAACACTTCCAGAGTTGTGTTAACCTTAAAATAACAGTGAATTTTATAAAATACAAAACAATGATTGAGGAGTATTTGCATTGTCTTTTTTACCTATTAAAATAGGCTGTGGTTATTTTTACACCAGTTGTTAAAACAATTCCTAATTCTGATCATCTGATTGGATGCTACCCCCCACCTTCTCCCACCCCTTCCTCCAACTCATTTTCTTTCATTTCATATCTATATTTTGACCAAAACAGAACATAAAGAATATGATTAAGAACTAAAACAATAGACTCGATACTTTACTGATTGAGTTACCTTACCTTTAGTGCATTAGCCAAGGCTACAATTCCTTTCCCACGAATACTGTTCCATCTCAGATCGAGATACACTAAACTATCATTTGAAGCCTAATAATAGGAATAAAATAATAATATTACATAATAATAACTGATTATATTTTTTTTTATAGTTATTTATGTTTCTATTTGCAAACTAATAATTATTTACTCAACTCAATAATAAAAATAATTTAAAAAAATTATATGTTGCATAATACTTATTCATATGTGATGAATATTAATAAAGTTTTGTCCCAAACATGACATGGCATACCAAAGCAGGGCCGATGTTTACCCCAGCAGCTTCCCCCAACTCATTATAGCTGAGGTCCAGTTCGGTGAGTGTCCCGTTGCTGCGCAGTCCTGTTGCCAGAATCGCTACATCTCGATCTTTTAAATGATTTCCACTTAAGCACAACCTCTTAAGTGTGTAGTTACTCTCCAGCATAAATGACATTGCTGCGGCCCCTTTACTGCCAATTACATTATCAGATAAGTCCTATGCAAAAAAGTAGTTCTTATAGTTAACATTCAATATAAAAAATCATGGAACAAAAGTGTTTTAATTTCCTCAAAGCAATTGTTCGAAAAACTATCATTAAATTTTTGGCTGGCTCACATTTAAATAAATCATCTTTCTACAGTCTGCCTGTTTAAACGAGTTCTATCTGCAATTGACTATCATTCATTGTTAAATAAATATTGTGCAGAAGTAAAACTTTTGGCTTCCAACTGACATGTTATGGGTTTGATTCCGGAGTTCTTCACATTCCTTTGACATTGGAGAGCAAGAAATTTATCTACCTTAGTTTCTCTTCATCCAGAAATGTAGGCCTATATGCATATCAGTTACAATGTGAATGCAATTAAATTCATTTAGCACTGTGTTTCTGTATTCAATGACAACTCTCAATGAACCGTTCTAGAGTAAACCAGCCCTTTTAAGTGACTTAAGTATAAATCAATATTAATCATTAGACTGTATTTCATATATAAATAATATTTTACCAATTTGTGTATGTAGTTGTTATTTCGCATCATGACTGCAACTGCTAAGGCTCCTTCTTCTGTCATGTGATTGTCATTTAGGTCCAAATCTTCTATACAAGTGTTGCTCTAGATTCAACAAAAAAAAATAGAAAAACCATGATAATGTGAGTCCAGAACCTCCAATCAGAGTCCACAATCAGGAAATATTAATGCTTTTTAAGATCTTACAGTACTGTACTATCAAATTAAATAATCTATTTATGTATATATTTATGTATCAGGAATATATGAGAATTCTCTATTTATTAGTAGTATATATACATTGATTGAGGTGAATAGCTTGGTGGTTAAGGTGCTTTGCCTTCCCATCCCAGAGTCATAGGTTGATACCTCTCAAAGATTTTTTTCTCATGACTAAAAAAAGTCCATTTCCTATGCCTCATAATCAGACACTCTAACCACACTCCTATCAAATTTTCATTGACAAAAAAACAGTTATGCCCATATGAAGTCATAGAGTACCACAGTTGTGTCGTCACGATGCCAGGTGGAGCCCTCTGTTGTCAACAGACGTTGGTCACCGTTCAATACGCCTGAATGACTTCATAGGCTTTCTGGAATAGGCATTTTAAAATCTAATATTTTACCATCAAAATGTACTAAAACACAAAAGCTCGCATTGTATTAGTTTAATCAAACACACATTTAATCATCAATTAAAATTTACAATGAAAAAGTAAGATACAACATCTTATTAATTACGTTAGAAATTGGAATGGCAATGGTTTGTCAGTGGGGAAAATGGCAACCGGTTGAACATATTTTGCAACGATAGCAACGGAGTAGTATCACATGGTATTGTGACGTAACACTGTAGTACTCTATAATGTGCCTATATATGGTCATCATGACGTGGTAGTCTGGTAGGTCTTCATTCTATGTAGAGTATCGTGTGTGTTTATCTTGTGAAAGGATTGCCACTTAAAAAAGTGATTAAGTTTGCTGTTTGATATATCCTTAGCCCTTGTGTCTAAATTTGTATAAAAAAATATTCATTCTCACACCAAGAGCTTGTGCTAAAGGCTTCATGTCTCTCGGAGCCATGTAGCGATGTCGCAGCCTTAATTTTGGCTTGTGTAAGTTTCGCAGCACAAAGGAAATTGGATCCACCCCTACAAATGAAAAAGAAAATCAATAAAATTGATATAAAAATATAAACATACACTTTACAGTAAATTTAAGGAAAATATGGTAAAGAAAAAAAAATATGAGCTACTAAATTTGTGAACTACAATAAACAACCCAATAACCATTGTAGCATTTATAATATTTATTATTCAATATTCACGAGAGGTTCTTATTCAAGAGTGGTGCTTATTGTAGATTATTGTAGTGTTAAATTGCTACCACGTGTTGTACATAGGCCTATCTGACTTGATGCAACATTAGTCTTAATGAAAAAAAATTGTTAATATTTTCATTGAAGTACAATTTAATATGTATTCTTGATTAAAGCGCCACAACATTTATTGAAAAAAAACATCTTTAATAAGCAGTGTAGCACTTACTTGACAGCAGTGCTTATACTAGAGTGGTGATAAGGGAAAAAAATGCTCTATAAGGTAGATCAACATTTAAAGTGAAAATAAATAAGGCTTCAAGCACTTGTTCAAGAAGGGAACTTTTACAAGTGCAACACATGTTACATCCTTTATAGTATGATGATTTAGCTCAGATTTAATTTTTGCAAACAGATTAATGAAAGCTGTACAAAACTGCTGAACACAGTATGGTATAATACTTTGCATCCCAAAATCCAATGAAATCACGGATGGATAATTAAACATATCTATTGAATATCGTAATCGGGATAGCAATCAGTAAAGCATGTGTAAAAAGGACATGAAAGACCCTTTAAGAAAAACAAAGTTAACTGTAAAAAAATAAGCAATGAGTGAGAACAAGTTTACTTTTGATAAAAGAAACCATGACAAGTTAAAGGCAAATAAGGAAAGCCACTGTAATTTTAAATTTATACACAAAACAATGAGATTTGATGATATTTACTACTTTTGAGAAAACAATTTCATTATTTGACTGACACTCATGAATTTGCTACTGATTATGAAACATAGAGCGAGCAACATTTGTTAAAAATTTAAACAAAAAGCAAAACACATTTAATTTTATATATTAAAATTAAAACACCAACTTTGTATCCACCAACACTTACTTATTCCAAAATATACATGTATGAACTGCACATGGGAGTAAAAGCAGTGAACAAGAATTCAAATAATATTTTATGATCAATAAAACTGTAGAGTAATTCACTATGAATATTCATTAGTTCATTATGAATATTAATTATGCACATATAAATATTAATGATACAACTATGGAAAGTAATAATACAAACTATGGACCTTTATGTGTTACTACTATATTATACTATATTTTATGATTGAATTTTTATTATCTAATAATACATTAAAATTCCTCATTTTAAAAAGATAAAATGAACAGTAAACTTCAAAAGAGACAAGCTTGTTTAAAGATTTTTAGAGTAAAAATCCTTACAGTGATTGCCACTAAATTTTAGATTCTATGCAAAACAATTTGCAGTATTATCCATGGATAATAACTGCAACTTGCAGTATTTTCCAAGTGGCAAGGAACACATTTCCTTGTTCTAATTTTGAAAGCCGATAACTCAGTGGCGTATGCAGGGACAAGGGCACACAGCCCCCCCCCCTAAAAAAATACCTGTTTACCCCTGGTCATCCCCCATTTGAAAATGTTTGAAGCAAAAAAATCACACTTAAGGTGTTAAAATCACTTATTTTGCAAGGTTGCACCACCTCATATAATCATTGTACAAACCTCACACATTTAATTTTATATATTAAAATTAAAACACCAACTTTGTATCCACCAACACTTACTTATTCCAAAATATACATGTATGAACTGCACATGGGAGTAAAAGCAGTGAACAAGAATTCAAATAATATTTTATGATCAATAAAACTGTAGAGTAATTCACTATAAAACTATGAATATTCATTAGTTCATTATGAATATTAATTATGCACATATAAATATTAATGATACAACTATAGAAAGTAATAATACAAACTATAGACCTTTTGTGTTACTAAAAATATATTATACTATATTTTATGATTGAATTTTTATTATACATAATACATTAAAATTGCTCATTTTAAAAAGATAAAATGAATGGTAAACTTCAAAAGAGACAAGCTTGTTTAAAGATTTTTACAGTAAAAATCCTTATAGTGATTGCCACTAAATTTTAGATTCTATGCAAAACAATTTGCAGTATTATTCATGGATCTGTTAAGTGGCAAGGAACATATTTCCTTGTTCTAATTTTGGAAGCCACAAACTCAGTGGCGTATGTAGGGACTGGGGCACACAGGGGCCCCCCAAAAAATACTTCTCCACCCCTGGTCATCCCCCATTTGAAAATGTTTGAAGCAAAAAAATCACACTTAAGGTGTTAAAATTACTTATTTCGCAAGGTTGTACCACCTCATATAATCATTGTACAAACCTCTCCCCACTGAACATTTGAACCCTAACCCCCCCCCCCCATAGATATGCCACTGCAATAACTGTTCAAGTCTATTATTAGCTTAAAAAAGTAAATGTTTAAAGTGTTGGATTGTCATCTCCTGGTTCTTACCTTCCTCTTGGCATTGTTCTAAATATATTGTACATCCTGTTGAATCATATTTCTTCAGTTCACCTGCAGGTACAATAGAAAATGTTTAAAGCTGAACTAATAAATGTTCAACTTAATGCAGGGGTGGCATAATGGAGGGCCATAGTGAATGTTTTATTTAACACTGAGGGCCACAACTGAACTTTTATGTTTCCAGTGAGCTTCCAAAAACCTTTCATGAACTGCTTTTTAACCACTTTATGCTTAGTTCTAATATCACTTTTTACAGATGATCATTGTCAGGCCATAAAAAGAGGGGTTCCTTAGTCAAAGATGATTGGCAGGCTGCACACACAGGATTTAAAATTTATTTTTGCCGCCTCAACTACATCACTATCTATGCAAGTATTGTAAATGTGTAACTAGATGCATGGCATTGGAAAGCATTGGAACTTATGAAGTGCAAACAAATAGTCTCCATGCTCTAAAGAAAGTAATAGCAAATATGCTTGCTATAGCGCCCTCTATAAAGTTTGTTGCTGTTGCTAGAGTGAAGGGAAAGTAAAAATGTTGCTACCACTCTGGATCCACTGCTGGTGTAGAGGAGTGCTTATATCCAAGAACAAGAAAATAAAATAAACATAATTAAATAATTTCGTGATTACCTGGAGGAAAGTCATCTTCTAGATCAGTATCATAGTCCTCATCTTTAACCGGTGGCGTTTCCATCAACCTTTTAATCGGGTCCTTAAGAGGGCGCTCTTCCTCCTCGTCTTCTTCATCACTAAACTCATCACTGGTTGGTGTATAAGACTCTTCCTGAGTTGACATGTTAGATATATCTGGATGAGTTTAAATATATATAAATTTTTAGTTAATAATGATAACATCTAATAACAACTGAATAAAAAAATAATAAAACCAACAACGATGATGACAATTTTATCCATATTATCATATTATTATTATTATCAGTTCATAGCAAATTGAAATGAATTAAAATAACAAGCCTGAATTAAAATTCAATTTTTAATTAGAAATCAGAATTTTCAAAATGTTTACGCATAAATGTGGCAAAGACAAGCCAAACCAGTCACTCGTCGCAAATTGTGTTTCAGAGAAAATAGCAAAAACATGCTAGAATGTAACATTTTTAAAAATCTATTTTATTTCACTAAACTGAGGTTTATGTATCTATACATCATGCTGTGCTGATAATTTTCCCAATTTCAATGTTAAAACAACACTTTTTAAAGATTTTATGATAGCTTCTGCATGAGAAATGCCTGAAATCATAAACTTTGAAGGCTGATTTCTCATATATTGTTCTTTAAACAGCTGTATGCTTAAATGCTTGTAACTTCATAAGGAAATGTCGGATTTGAATGATTTTTTTTACCATTTTATAGCTCTTATTTTACTCTTTACTCCTGTATTAATAACTCAAAAATTGATTTTTGCGACGAGTGACTGGTTTGGCTTGTCTTTGCCACAAATTAACAAATGAATACATATTTTCAAATTCTTTTCATGCCCTTAAATTGTCAATTTGTAATAAAATCTCTAAATTAACATAAAATGAATCACTTCTATCTGTGACTTATTAGTTGAACCTTATTTGATCATTCTAAAAATGATCTATCAATATTTTTATGTTAGGGTATCTCTTTATTTTGGATTTTTATTTCAATTTCCAATTTTATTTCTTTATTATATTTTTTTTTCAAACTATTTTTATTACAAAATAGTAAGATACTTAGTACCACATTACAGTACCTTTTGGATCATCGTTAAGACTGGCGTTTTCAATGGCTTCCAGTAGCTCAGTCTCTGACCAGGCTGGGAACACCTCAGTAATCGTAATCTGCGGTGCTGTTCCTGGTCGAATACTTGAGCTGCTCTCGTTCACGTTCTCTGTTAACTTCTGCGACTTCAACAAACTACTATGTGGTCTTAACCCTCCTTTCTTTGTCCTGGGGGTCTCCCTTACATGTGTCCTCCCCCTGACTTGTGTCGTCTCCCTCACTTGTGTTGCCTCCCTCACTTGTGTTGCCTCCTTCGCTTGCGTCATCTTTGTAGGGCTACTTGGTCTTTTGACAGGCTTTCCGATATTCAAGTTCGCCGATTTTGGTCTAGCGGGTGAAATTTCCAATGATTTATGTAAACGAGGCGATTTCCTTGGTTGTGGTACGACCTCTGAACTATCGTTAATGTTGCTAAGATCAATTTGGAAGGAATTGTCCTCCGCCCCCCTTGTGCTGCCCTCCCGTTTTCTTCTTGACACTAATTTTTTATTTTTGCCGTCTGTATGTTGGCTATGCGAGGCAGCACAGCACTGGCGCTGGGAAACCATAGATGAGTTCATTGTGATAAGTAGCGGCAAACACTGGTATGCGACCAAGTACCATCAATTATAATTTTTATAAATCTGTAAATAAAAAAGAAGTTTACAAAATTTATTAGTTAAGTGCAGACAAGACTCAATTGGTAGCAGATGTACATAGGTGTTCAAAATTATTTTCATTGGAAAATTTTTTTCTAATTTCAAAAGTTATAATATAAAAGGTTTAAAAGGCCCTGCTAAAAACACCTAGAAAAAAAAAAACATGAAAATACCCGAACACCAGCTAAATAAAATACCCTAGGATAATGTATGGTAATAATTTGAATTAATTGTTGTTCAATTGTTATTGAAAGTTTTGATAATTTACATTACATACTTGGCTATCAATTACCATTACTTATGATAATTATTATAAATATGTGTTATATATTATTATCGTAAATTCGGTGGTTTGACTCAGTTGTTTCCATTCTGGTCATTGAACTTCTTGTGGTCAGGAGTTCAAACCACATGCTGACCAATCTTGACCGGCCTTGCTTGGATACCCCAATTTATATCGTTGCAGGCATTTCACTGCATAATTAAAGTTACAAGGAACTCTTTTATTTACCTCCTAGAAGTGGCTTTCATGCCTTGTTTGATGTGATTTCAATTCAATACTAGGCCAGGCTAGGTAGCCTAATAAGAAAATGTATTCAAAACAATTTAATTTGACTGAGCATCTGCCTGAATTTCTAAAAATAGGATACTTAGCCTAGATTCCCCTCTAGGCCCTAGGCCCAGCTAGTCTAGAGAGGCTAGGCCAGGCGTCTAGTCCAGAGACTAGGCCTAAGCTTAGGCCCTAGCTTGTGTCTCTAGAGTGTCTAGCTAGGCTAGGCCTAGGCCCCTAGGCTACACTTATTTCCACGAGTCTAAATAAAATATAGGACTAGCAAATAATTATGAAATAATAATCGTAATACTTTTCAAGTGGCGTTCGAGGTTGGTAAATTCAATCAACTTCAATCAGTTGATACATTTTGTATGCACAAAACTGTTTACGAATTTCCTGTTTACATTCACCACCGCAACCAGAAAGATGGTGGCAAATGTGACTGGAAATAAACAATTTAGAATAGCGCCCTCTCGTTGCAGCCTAAGCCCTAACTTTTGTCGCTTTTTGAGCACTAACTTTTGAGCCATCATTAAGTTGCCACTATCAACGTTGAGACGATTCTGTAAATGATTGTCCTTTATTCATATTTTATTTTTAGCGGTAAACTGCACACACTCCTCAAGCAGTAATGTAACATGTAGACTCTATTCTAAATATTTTAGGATGATCTTTAATATAGTTTGGCGTTCTTGCTATCACACAGAACGAGTTAATTGTTGTTTCTTTGATTTTATGTCCAGCAGTTGTTCTTTCAACAAAATTTAAATTTGCATAGACCTTCTAACTTTTTAGATTTAATAAACAGAATTAATTAAAAAGCAATACAATAGGATATAGCATCCAGATAATATGTAGATTATAAATTATTTAATTAATTAAAATTAGTTAAAATTTGACTGTTTTAATAGGACCGGGCCTATTTAAAAGTAGCTGTTGAGTTGTCGCTTTTGACACGCTGTTATTGTCACTTGGTCTCTCAATAAAGAATTTCTTTTTAGTATTTTAACCAATCATATCAAAACTTCTTATCAAGTGGTCTTTGAGTTCACAGCAATGATATGCAAGCGCTAGTGTACGGTATTTAATTGATCACGAAAGTATCAAGTGAATTATATCGTCATATCGTCATCTCTGCAGGGGTGGTGGTTAAATTTCAGGTTCACTGATTTTCCTAAACAAAAAGTCTTGAAAGGGTCAGTTGTGGTTCATCACATCCTTTAGCACATTCGGAATGATCGTCGTGGTCCTTCTTTTAAAGAAAAACGGAAGGAAAAAGAAAGGAGATTAATGTTCAAATTACCATCCTTACTAAAAGGTGTTACTGCCCTCTATATGCAGAATCTCGTATCACACCTTGTGTTTGAGCTTACCTCTTCTCTTTATTTCTCCTGCCCCTTGATAGGCCTATATGATGTCTTTGTATTCGTACTTCTTACTTTCTTTTTATTATGTAATCTGTCACAGAGGAGGATTCAAAATAACCTATTTGACATTTTGTTAATTTTGATATTCAATTTATAAATTATTCATGAATATTTGATAATTATTATACAATACAGTAATTATTCAGCCACCATGTAAGAACATAAAATGACAAACAGAACTTTAATTATGACATACTCTGTAGGATAGACTAAACTTTTACCAAATGTGTAATAGCCTATATATTTTTTTACATAAACAAAACAAAAATAACAAAAAAAAAACCCAAAAGCAAACAAAAATAAAAATATAGGCCTACATTATATAAAAATAGGAGAAGGAAAAAGAGTGAAATGTTGAAGATTCGTTTATCTAAGGCTGTAATCTAAGTAAGTTACTACAACCACCGGATCTGACGATGACGATGTCGGAAATATCTAATACCTAATAATTTTAGAAACTGTTTCTAAAATTATAACCTGACTCATATAGACCGGTGTTGAAAATGAATTGCCAATACCTCATTCATGGTGTTTTTATCAGCATCAACCGAGTGTCTGAAGTTTATATAGAGCCTACAAACTTTTAGGCATCAATTATAAATTGGATTCTGGTTCTGGTGGGTAAAGCCGACCCATTAGGACTCCAGAACTGTAGGAGTATGATTTCCAGTTGATCTGCTATTTAGTCGGTCGTTCGTCACCGTACGTAAGCTTCCCTTGGTGATGATAGACTTTTCAGTTAAACATTTATGATGTTATTTGCCTGAATAAATAGTATCGTGCTTTATTTGTTATTATCAAACAAAATATGTTGATCAAAATGCCTTGGCCATTTGATTCAAAGGTGTAGTAATCATGCCCTCGTGAAGTACGGACGTACTTCTCTCTCTCTCTCTCTCTCTCTCTCTTTTTTTGCTAACTTAATGTCACTAAACACGTTACCATTCTACTTTTTAATTTTTTTTTCTGATAAAATGAATCAATAAACATTTTTGTGCTGTCTTCTCTCCAACTTAAAAACTTAAGCTACATTTTAAAGGTTAATTTTGTCGTTTGTAAGTTTTCTTGTTTTTCTTGATTCAGTGTTAAAATTTCTTTAATAAAAAATATGTAATGCTAGTAAGCATTTGGTAAATTTTATGAAAGTCAATAATTTTTTGTTTGTTTTTTGTTTATGGACACTTCACTTTAAAAAAAAAAAAAAAAAAAAAAAAAAAAAAAAAAAAACAAGAAGTACTCAGGCGCATCGGTGTCTGTATACCGGTAAAAAGAACGAATATATTTCAAGGTCATCTTGAATGAAGATGAATATGTGAAAGTTAGTCTGACTTTGTAAGAACAGCAACCTTCAAATAGCTTTGAAATCGTTATACACTTGTCTGTCGAAAACTAAAGTCCATCCAATAATCCTTGATTTTTTAGCCGACAGGTACTTCCAGGCGTCGACCTCTGCATTTCTGGTCGGCCATTGCCTATTGTTAAGAGTGCTAAGTTCCCGGTTGGTGTCATACTTTATTGTGATTAAAAGAGGAGGGAAATAAAAATTACATATGAAGTAAAGCTAACAAAAAATTATTTATGTAACTGATGAAGGCCTTTGTCGGGGCCTCCGTACAACAGAACTTGTTATGGCATCCTACGTCCGCCCAGTTCTCGAGCGGCACGCGTTGAGCATCTTTGTCTGACGGCCCAGTCTTCCAAAATCAGCGTGTAGTGTTCCGCTGTATCCTGTATCCTGGGGAAAATGTTAATACTACTTGAATCTGCCCTTGGCCAATTTGGAATAGAGACACTATCTGCTCACCGGGATGCACAGTGCTAATTTTGCCAAAAAAAAAAACAAAAACAAAAACTTTTAACTATATTTAGTACGCCTAAGTGGTTTCCTATCGAAGTACCACATCAATTACTCAGGAAATCCAATGCATTTAAACATTTTAATTTGAAAAGAAATATATTTAAAAATAGTCCACACTCTTACTTGATCAATTTACTTAAACTACAGTAGTCCTACTTTCTACTAACTATTCCATGGGCACGCAGTCATTGCAATGTTTAATTTGCCAGTATAAAAAAATGCAATGTTTTATAAGATACGGTACATTGAATAACTACTAATTGTTTTTGATTTTTTTGTTTGTATAGAGTAATATTAATTTAATAATACAATTTTGAGTAAATTTTAGCCTAGTTCATTAAATTTCATTAAAAAAAAATATACAGTATATAATTTCATTTTCAGTTAATTTCTCTCCATGGAGATTTAAGAACAGTGTTCTATTAACATTAACTGTTGTAAACTAATTATTACATCTAATACAAACGTGAAAAATGATAATGAAAAGTACAGGATTTTATTTTGTAGTAAATATCTCATAGGGCCTAAGTGTCATAAAAGCGGAAATGATTTTGCATATCAACACTTGGCTTGAAGCGGAAGTTATTTTTTTTATCAATCGGGGGCGCTATTTACTTGAAAGAAAATTTGTGTTGTTCTTTACTTCCGTATCGCAAGCAGGGAGTAATACAACAATCATGGAATCTTATTAGTGTTCATCGTTTGGAAAAATGTGGGGACGAACGACGGACAAGAAATATGGAGTTG